TTTTGTGCTTCTGTTGGGTTTCTGGGATCTTGATTATTATATGTCTATGTGTAGATTTTTTTTTTATCATGGCTAGTTGGTATTCTATATGCCTCGCTTATCTGTATGTCAAATTCTTCCCCTCTGTTTGGGAAGTTTTCTGTCATTAATTCTTTGAACAGCTTTTTTAAGTCATTTGCATTTTCTCCTGGTACTTCATGGATGCCTTTCCGTCTTATGTTATTCTTCTTTGCATCAACTAGGAGTTGTTGGATCGATTTCTCATGATCCCTTACTGTTTTTAAGAGAACTCTCTTTTCATGGTCACTGTTTGCTATCCTATTTTCTATATCTGAGATTCTATCTTCCCAATCTTTTATTCTGTTTCGTTACACTTTCAATAGAGTTTTTATTCTCCTGGATATCCGTTTGAATCTGTTTAATGGATTCCATTTCTTTCCTATGTTGGGCATTCATTGTTTCCATTTCTTTCTTATGCTGGGCCTTCATGCTTCTATTATGGTCCTGAGGTCATCTATTTTTTTGTCAGTTTCTGTTCTAGATTCTCGAATCATGACTTTCATTTTGCTCACCATCTCTATGGTTATCTGGGAAATTATTTCTGCTTTGAATTTTTCTAGAGCCTGATTGATCTGTTTTGTTACTTCCTGTGCTGTGAGTTCTGAGTGTCCTGGAGGTTCACTATCTGATTTTTCATCCTCCTTTGCCCTACTGTTTGCCATTGGTGGATGGGAAGTCTGTTTTTGTGGCTTGCTTAAGTGTTCTCATCTTTATTTTTGCCGTTGGGTTGCCCTTGATTCAATCTCTGGGTCATTAAATCTTCCTGATATCATTGCATCCCAGTCTTTGATTCTCTAATGACTTATAGACATTCTCATTTTCATAATTGAGAAAACAACTCATCAAACCAGTCCCTATCCTTTATCCCTATCGATATAATCAGGAACATAATAGGATCAATTACCACCCTTTATAGCCCACCATGCCTCCGCAGAGTGCATCCAAGGACTAGCTCAATCAGGGTGTGGGGGGAGGGGGGTGCACAGTGGTGCCCACTGGAAAAGGCGCGGCTCCAGAGGAGGCCCGTAGTTTGGGCCGGGCTGTGCAGCAGAGGTGGCTCTGAGTCCAAGCTGGGTGATGACCAGTGCTTCTTACCATCTTCAAAACATTGAGGAGGAAACAATTCCTAACTCATTTCTGAGGCCAACCAACATCACCGATAACAAAGCCAGAAAATGACATCTTAAGAAAACTACAGCCCACTTTCCCCAATAAATATCCATAGTTTCTGTTTCTGGGAATTTGTCCGTTTCATTTAAGATATCCAATTTGGTAGCCAAAATTTTGTCAACTTTGTTTTTCTTTTCTAAGGATCAACTCTTGGTTTCATTGATTTGTCTCTGTTATTTATTCACTATTTTATTTATCTCTGCTGTGGTCTTTGTTACTTTCTTCCCTCTGCTGGCTTTGGGCTACTTTGCTCTTTTTCTAGTTCCTTTAGAGTATACATTTAGGTTATTAACATAAGAACTTTCTTGTTTAGAATTAGAAATGTTATTTCCTTTGTGATAACTTCTTTGGGCTTTTGGTTGTTTAAGAATTTTGCTTAGGGCCAGGGATTTAGCTCAGTGGTTCCGCCGCCTGCTTTGCAAGCTCAAGGTCCCAAGTTTGATCCCCAGTACCAAAAGAAAAAAAAAAAGAATGTTGCTTAATTTCTACATATTTTTTAGTTTTGCGGTTTTTCTTTTGTTATTGCTTTCTATTTTCATTGCTTCAGAAAAGATAATAGATATTATTTAAGTCTTTTTAAAATGTACTAGACCTGATTTGTGGCTTAACATATGGGAAATATTCCATATGGCAAAACAATGTGTTTTCTGTAATATATATTGGGGCTGATTGGTTTATGATGTTGATCGGGTCCTTCCTTTCCTTATTGATCTTCTGTATGGTTCTTCTACCTATAGTTGAAAGTAAAATAGTTAAGCCTCCAGCTATCATTGTAGAACAATTTCTTGCTTCAGTTCTTTTTTATGTCTGCTTCATATTATTTAGGGCTTTGTTATTAGATATGTGTATATTTATAACATATCTTCTTGATAAATTGAATCTTTTCTCATATATCTTATCTTGTTTTTTCTCTTGTTACCCTTTTATTAAAACTCTATTTTTTTCTGATAGCAATATAACTGTCCCAGCTCTCTTTTGGTTACCATTTGAATAGATTATCTTTTTCTGTCCTTTTAGTATTAGCCCCGTTATTCCTTTGTATCTAAAATGAGTGTTTTCTAGGCAGCATATAAGTTGGCCATGAAATTCTATCCACTTTGTCAGTATCATATTGTTCATCATAGAGTTTAGTCCATGTATATTTAAAGTAAGTATAAATAAGGAATTCTGCCATTTAACGACATATTTTCTCTATGTCTTACAGGCTTTCATTCTTTAATTCCTCCATTACTACTCTTTAAAAATTAGACTTTTTGCTTTTTTTTTTTGCTGTATATCATTTTTATTCCCTCCTCTTTATTTTTCTGTATATATTTCAGTAGTTTTTCTAGTAACTACCTTGTAGTTTACAGTTAGCATCTTAACTTCTTATAGATTACTTTGAATCAGAGACTAATTTTAATAGTGATATTTGGCTCTTTTATATCTCCATCTCTTCCCCCTTATATTGTTTTGGCTGCAAGTTTCATCTTTATACATTCTCAAAATTTATTTGTAATTATTATGTAGTGCATTTGCCCTTTAAATGATATAGAGAAAAAAACAGGAATTACAAGCTAAAAGTATAATAATACTGATGTACTTATTTACTTATGCAATAACTTTGAGTTACTTCCTATTGTCCCTTAATTTTAGCTTGGAGAACTTCCTTCCTTCCCTCCTCTGTTCTTTCCTTCTTTGCTTCCTTTTCTGTATGTGTGTTTGGGGGGAGTGGAAAGTTGATTAAACTCAGGCTTTTCACACTAAGCTACAGTCCCCAACCATTTTATTTATTTAATTTTTTTTGTGACCCTCCATTTCTGGTAGGAAAGATATATTAGGAACAATCTCTCAGGTTTGTTTATCTAGAAGTCTTAATTTCTCTTTTATTTTTGAAGAATTGTTTTGCTGGATATAGAATCCCCAGTTGATAATTTGTTCTTTCTGCACTAAATATATCATCCCACTGTACCTTACCTTCCTGGTCCTCTATGAAGAATCAGCTGTTAACCTTATTGAAGATACCTTGTAAGTTACAAACTGTTGCCTTCAAGATTCCCTGTTTAGGGGCTGGGGATGTAGATCAGTAGTTCCACTGCCTGCCTTGCAAGCACAGGGGTCTCAAGTCCGATCCCTGGTACCAAAAGAAAGAAAATAGATTCCCCATTTCTCTTTAACTTACAATAATTTGACTATAATGTATGTCAGTGAGGCTGTCTTTGACTTTATACTGCTTGGAGTCCCATGGGCTTCTGTAGATTAGGGTCTTTATGAACCTGGAGAAAGGGTGACCGTTAGTCAGGCGTTTTTTCCTGAGCCTTCCTCTCTCTCCTCTTTTGACTCCCAAAATGCATTCATTGGTCCACTCAGTGGAGCTCCATTTAAGATGCCTTAGGCTCTGTTCACTTTTCTTCTTTTTTGCCTTTCTGCTCCTCAAACTTGATAATTTCAATTGTAATGTCTCAGGCTTGCTGATTCTTGTTTCTGCTAGATCAAATGTTATTGAAACCCTCTACTGAATTTTTAAATTTCATTTATATTCTTCAACGTCTTGTATTTCTATTTGGTCTCTCATAATTTCTATTGAAATTCTATTCATTTTGTTTATATATCATTTTTCCTGTTTTTTTTAATTCTCTGAACCACTGAGCTAAATCTCCAGCCCCGGTTATTGCAGTTGTTTAGCTGAAAATTTTCTACTTGTTTTTCCCCAAACCTGCTATATCTTTAAAAAAAACAAAAAAACCAAAAAAAAACTCAAACTCTCTACCAAAATTACCAATCTTGTTTCTTCATGTAGTACTTTATAGTTTTTCTTTCCATTACTTTTTCTCTGTAGTGCCTTGTTTTTTCTTCTGAGTTTTTGTTTTTCCATTATGTATAGGACATTGTATTTGAAAGCTACTTTGGAAAAAGAATTTGAGGCCTAGTAGTAAGTTTCTTACTATTGCTTTAATTTGTCTTTGAGCACCTCTTTATATTCTTAGCATCTCTCTGTATATTGTCTGGTGAAGGCTTAGTGACCATTTAAAAGCTAGTTTATCTTTTTATTGTTTGTTTGTGATGATGTTTATATCTCTTTTGTCATAGATCATATAGTGGCTTTTTCTCCACTTCTTTAAGTGGCCAGCAGCCTCACATTCCTGGGACAAACCCCACTTTTAGTTGCTGGTTCATTAGCTAGTGTTTTGTTCAGGATGTTGAAGACAGCAGGCCTTTGATGCCCTTCCTCACAGTAGCCTTGTGGGTTTCTGTATAGTGAGGTGCAGGTTGTGTGAGCCCTCAGCATCTGCTTGCCCTGTCCTTCAAACCTTCTCCACTAGACCCACAGCATGGAAGGCAGCTTGTGATCCCCTCCTGCACACTTGCCCTGCCTCCCACTGGAGCACCTGCTCCCACCTTGGCTCCTGAGCTGTTCACTGAGTTATTTACTATTTCACAGCGTACTCAGACAAGACACTGGTGCCAGCTGGTGGAGGGGTATGGGTTACTCATGTGCCCCGATTGGCTAGGCTCTATGCATTCTACCCAGTGCCCACTGTGGCCCATGGACAGCTGGGGCTTGTGGCCTAGAGGTGACTGGGCTGGAGCTTTAGAGAGCAAGGGAGGGTCGGCTTCTATTTCCCAGCCCACGCTGTCACTTCATGGTCAGCTGATGGAGGTGCCTGTCTGTGGAAGGTCCTAGGACCACTTTTTCTTAAGGATGGAGAAAGTTCAGGGACCCCAGAGCATGAGAGGAGGCAGCTGATCGCAGCCCCACATACCTCCCTTTTCTTGTCTCTGTCTTCTAGATGATTATACCTCGAGTAGGAGTGGGAATGCCATATCTGGCCCCAGCACCTGGCCCTCTGTCCACCGCAGCCATTCCTGGAGCCACTCCGGCCCTGCCTGTGCCCATCCCAGGTACTGCCCATGCCAGCCTCCTAAGCCCACCCTGTGCACTGTTCCTGGGTCACTATGGAGGCCTGTGCCCAGCTCCAGTGCCCTGGGGGCCCTGGGCAGCCCAGGGGAACCTGCCAGGGGTTTGGAGCAGCTGGATCCCTGCCCAGGTACCTGTGCTGCCTGTGTTCCTGCAGCCACCGACTGTCAGCACCCCCAGCCGCCAGCAGCACATCACGTAGCCCTGTGCCGTGCTCCTGGCTAGGTAGAGCACTTGGAACTGCTTGGAGGAATCAGATTGTGGGTTGGCCTCTGCATGTCTCCCGACCGTGGGGCTCAGTGGTCACCATGGGGCAGCATGGGCAGCAGGAGGAGCTTCCCCTACCATTTCAGACCCTGATTGCTGTTAGCCCCCCATGGTCTGCACACCCTCATTCCTTTAGTGGGAGGTTAGAACCTTGGCATTCATCCTGTAGCAGTTCAGTATCTTGAATTCCAGATTTTCTGTTCCCCAATGGAAAGAGATGTTAAAAAAAAAAAATCAAAAAAGGTCTTCATTTACAGTTGGCTTTGCTTTAATATTTCTACTCTGTTGTTATAGAGATCTGAATGGCTTACAAAGCTGAAGCTGAAGTCTGATCTTCAGTTTTCTATTGTAAATGTCTTTAAGAAACAAAAAGAAAGAAAATTGCACTCATAATATTGAACACTAAAGAGCTCGCTGCTAGGTGAGCTCGTCTTGGTTCTCAGTGGAGCAAGGGCTTCCTGGGCTTATCGGTGACTGAGAGGACCACCAGGCAGGGGGTGTGTGCAGTGAAGAGCATCAGCAGCTTGGTTTGCCTGTGAGGAATGTCCTAGGTGCCCTGGTGGCAGCAGGCCGTTGGGGGCACCTTGCAGAGACGCACCCTGCTTCAGCTCCGAGGTCTCCCACCCCTTTACCTTCCTTTGCCATGACTTCTGTGGGAGCCCACCATGCCCTGTAGTTCCCTCCAAAGGCCAGACTGCTGAGGAGAGGACCCTCCTGCAATTTCCACAGCTCCCCCCATGGGCACAGAACAGCCCCAGGTGGAGGCGATGGCTCCACTGTGCACTGTATATCTTGTATTTACTAAACCAGCCAGATTATTTTAGTTTTAATATCCCATTCCATCAGTTCAATTAGAAGTGAATTTTTCAGGGAACTGTGCAGGATCCTCTGCCATGGCATACACTGCAGTAAGAGTTTTCTGTGTTCTGTGCCTGGTCCGAGAATCGTGTGAACTTGTTTCTCAGTGAAACAGGGGCCACCCTCTCTGCTGCCCCAGGCACCGCACACCTCAGTCCTTTCTTCCTACAACAACGGTAGCGGCACGGGATCCCCAAGAGATTGTGTATGTGAAGGAGAAAAATAAACATTTTTGCTTGAAAACACTGTGAAACAACATCTTTTTCTTACCTTCTGTCCATGAGCCAGACCGACCAACCTTGTAGAGAAAAGAGGTATGGAGAGCCAGGCATGCTTGTCCTGGGCTCTGCACTGAGCCTGGAGCCATGCCGACCACACACTGGATGGGAGTGCTGATTGTAACCCAAGTGCTGGGCCTCTGGCGGGGTTGCCTTTCCCCAGCACTGTTCCTGTAGGGTGTGACCCAGGTGCCCAGGATGCCAAGCTCTGCTACACCCCTGTGCCTGATTAACTTTTACAAGTGCATGCGTATGGAGGGGTGAGTCTCGTGGTCACGTGGACGACATCTCCACTCTGTTCCTGATGGTGGTGGCTCCCACGAAGCCAAGCTTACATGGCTCCTGGTGGACCAAGCACTGGGCAGGTGGGGTACCCTTTTTCAGGTTCTTGTCCAGAGGAAGATTTGGGGCTGTGATTACCATGGGTCACATGAAGAGTGCCGGCCTTGCTGCGAGGCACAGGGCTGTAGTGAAGATGGTGGTTTGGGGAAAGGTTAACTTTGCATGGTACCTGAGCTGCTTGCTCTTGCACATGCATCTTGGGCCTGAGCCTGGCCCTGACCACTCTGAGGTCTGTAGTCCACCTGGGCCCCTACAGTGAAGGGTGGCTGCCTCTGTGGCCTTGCTGCCTTCACATTATGACGAAGCAGCAGCCTTCACACCTGTGCTCTGGGACAAGGACATTCCACCCCCATTATCCAGTACACACCCCTACAGCTACCTCACGGCACCTTACCTTGGCACTGTCCCGGAGGGAGGCAGGGAAAATTAATGGTCTCTGGTCTCCCAGCTACCCAAGGGTTCAGAGGACAGCCCACTGCCAGGCACTCTAGTTTTGTGGTCATTCTGAGTACCTGGCTATCACAGAGAAGATGGCCAGGTAACAGGCTGATGGGCTCGGTGCCGAGAATAGGACTTGGTACCAGGATGGACACATGGCAGACTGGCCAGACTCTGGCTTTGCTTTCTCACCTCTGATTCAGCAGCTCCCGGGATGGCAGGCTGTGCCACAGAGGCCTGAAACAAGCGAGCTGTGGCGGTTTTGTTTTCCAGATCCTGACAGCGAGAATCCCGACTGATGGGCGCCGGCACCGCCAGGCCCGTGTCACATCATCCAGCAGCGCTGTGACGGACTTTCTGGGCCAGCCCCTCCACGAGTCCACTTCACGTTGTTTTGTAACCACTTTCTAAGCATTTTTTATTCACGATTGGAAACACAAATGTAATGCAAGAATAAAAAATATTTTGGGGGAGAAAGCACGTTTTTCAAACTTTTTCCTTTCTGGTGGCCCTCAGGCAAGCAGGTGCTACAAACATGAGGGGTTGGGCAAGGGGACATCCCCAGAAGCCTGGCATGCCAGTGCAGGGCTCTGAAGCTCATCTCCAAGCCACCTTCCAGGCACAGACTCAGGGTCCCCTTTGTTCACACAGCTCCATGACCTACAGCTTTCTGTCTAGTCTCGGGAGACCAAAGTCTCCCCCCTTCCCCCTGCACATGGCCAGCACTCATGGAAAGTCGAAATAACTCTCCTTTCAGAATTCATGTGCACTGGCAGAGGCATCCAAAGAATAGCATGGAGAGCTGGAACCCTTGGAGTAGCCCTGGGAGAAAACATGCAGTGGAAATGTCTCCACAGCCTGGCCTGGCCCACAGGGTGTTCATGAGTCTCTAATTGCACGTTAGCATTTCCTGAAGTGATGGATGGGAAGTAGATGTTAACAGCACCTGGACTTTTCCACTGCCAGAGACCACAGATAACTGCTATGGCATTAAGATGGTTGCTAACATCCCCAAAATGTCACTTCTGTCGCGACAAGATACCCAGCCCATGGGATTTAAAGTGCATCTTATTTCAAGGTCTGGTCAGTTCTCTAGGATGTGGGAATACGCAACAATCCTTGGTGAACTGAGTATTGCTAAGGGTTCTGAGTCCTGGAGGTTGTACTCCAGTACACCATTTGGTTCATGAACTTGATTCTCCGCATGATTCTGGTTGCAAACTGAGTTGGATGAGAACCAAATCAAACTCAGTAATTAGGTTCAGTGTTGACCCTGTGAGGAAATTTGATTCGGTTCTTATCCAGTTCGGTTTGTGACCACAATCATGGAGAAAATTGAGTTTGTAAACCCACGTACCACCACATCTATAATGAGGTTTCCAGCTCATTGTTTTGTGCCCTACATCTGAAGCCAAGTCTTGAATTTGGAAAACAGAAATATATAGTAGCACTTTACCTCAGTCTGCCATACAAAGTATCATAGCATAGTTCACTTGGAAGGAATTTATTTTTCACAGTTCTAGAAGCTGGGAAGTCTAAAATCAACTTACACAAGGTAGGTTTTATGCTGAAAGTTTTTCTCTTGGTGTGTAGGTAGCCACCATCTCACTGTGTGCTGTTTGACTCTGCACAGAGTTTGGCTCTGATGTTTCTTATAGAACACGAATCTTACTGGATTAGGGTCCTGCTCTTAAGATTACATTTTGTCTTAATCTCATCAAAGTCCTATCTCCAGGTACATTAACATGAGGGCTTAGAGCTACAATTTGTGAAATTTAAGTGAATATAAACATTCAATCCATAGCACATAGCTTATGAAAAAAATTTTTTTTCCTTAATACTGGGGATCGAACTCAGGACCTTGCACTTGCGAGGCAAGTAGGTGCAGCACCACTGAGCTAAATCCCTGGCCCTTAATCATTTTGACACACAGTGTACTTGTAAGGCAGAAACTCCTTTGTGTACTTGCACCTAATTACTTAAGTGACTACCAAGTGTATTCACTGGTAGCAGGAGGGAGAGGAAGGGCAGAATCAAGAATAATCTGTGGCAGAAAACAAGAGGAAGAAATAACCTACTGCTTCCTTTATGGAGCCTTGTATAGGCGCAGGAGATGGAGCCCAGGCAGTGCTTCACAGCTGTAAAGCACCATAATCAGACTGGAGGACCCTGGCCAGTGTGACCACATCTGGCCAGCAGCACGAGTGCTACAGAGCTCTTGGTTTAGAATTCAAACCACACAGGACCATAAAGAACAGGTGAGATAAATAAAAATAGCAAAACATTAACATGTATACTACTATAACTTACAAACGGTCTAATTATCTCAGTTAAAAGAAATTGTCAGATCAGACCTAATAAACAGCACCAAGATTCAGGAATATATTGCCTACAATAAACATACTGTAAATGCAAAGACAGGTGAAGATGAAAAGACGGACAAAGATGAACCATCCTAACCTTAACCGGTGGAAAGCAGAATGGCTCTATTAGTACTGAATAAAAATCATTTTATAATGAGAAAGGAGGTCACTTGCAAGAAATCTACTTCTGAACATTTGTGTACCTAGCAACAGAGCATCAAAATAAAACAATTACAAAAAGAAGGAAATTATGGATAAGTCCATATCTTCTGTAATTGGCAGAACAAGTAGATAACCATGGTAGTCAAGAGTCTTGCTCCAGTTTTTGTTTTGGTCTTTTTTTGTGGTGCTGGGGATTGAACCAGGGTCTTATGCATGCTAAGCATGTGCTCTACCACTGAATTGTATCCCAAACTCCTGCGACTCCGATTTTTGAGATTTGACTGCTGACAGCTTTTAAGCCTCACCCCTTCCTTCTCTTCCATATCTGGGAAAGCTGAGCAGAAAGACTGTATGCTCCATTATTGGCACCAGCCCATGAATTGCATTGAACCAGACTGCCCCTACCCACGCACAGTCACATGGAACCTGCCCTACCCTTGACCATGAAAACCCCAAGCCAGTCTCATTTGCCTGGTCCCTCAATCCATTTTGGATCTGCTTAGAAGCTATTTTGCTCTCCCCAGAAACTTCATTTCATTATGTGAGTAACAAATCTTTTCATCCCCTTGGCGTATGTGTGTTTGTGCATCGATACCGACATCCAAGCCACATTTTGGGTGGGAGCCCATCCTGTTTCTGCAGAGTAACCGCAGCAGGCACTGAGAATACAGAAGACAGAGTATCACTTTTGACCAGTTGGCCTGCTTGACATTTGGAGAATACCCACACCAGAACATACTTTATTTATGTGCGCATGGTCTGTGCAGATAGACCAGGTTCTGGGAAAGAAAAATCGCAATATAAATGATTCAAGCCACAATGTTCTCCAACTGCGGTGGGGTTAAATATGAAGTCAGTAATACATCATGGGAAAATACCCATATTTGGAAATGCAATCACCCAAAGGAGATATTAGAAAAAGTTTGAAAGATAATGAAAACAAACCCTATCAAAATTTGTTAGATACTGTTAAAGCAGTAGGAGGAGGACTTGTGTAGCACAAAGAGCTTGGTATTAGGAAAGAAGAAAGGTTAAATCAATGACTTCATCTTCTGTCTTAAGAAATTAGCCAAAAATACTAAAGGCAAAGTAATTAGAAAAAAAATTTAAGAGTGAAAGTCAATAGACTAGAAAACAAAAATAATAGAGAATATTGATGAAACCAAATTCTGTCATTGGAGAGACTTAGAGGGAAAAACCACCAGACTAATCAGGAGAAAAGATAGCAGAAAATGCAAATGTCACAAGAGTGATATCAGGACCATCTATAGATATTTAAAGAATTATAAGGAAATATTGTGAACACCTTTATGACAATATATTAGTGGAGATGAAATGGTCAAATGGAAGACATAATTTACCAAAGTTTACTCAAAAAGAAATAGATAATCTGAATAGCCCCATCACTATGAAATGAATTTGTTTTATAGTTAAGAATCTCGGGCCAGGGATTGAGCTCAGCAGTTCCACCGACTGCCTTGCAAGCACAAGGACCTGAGATCAATCCCCGGTACCCCCCCCCAAAATCTCCCACAAAGAAATTCTAATGTGTGGTTGTCTTCTCTGGTGAATTCCCCTGTATGTTTAAGGGAGAAATAATAATTCTATATGAACTTCTAGGTAATTCTGCTGCCCTCATCTTAAGACCAAAGAATCCTAGATCCGAATGTCTCTCATAAGCATAGATACAATTCTAAACAACATCTGACCAAACCAAAAGTAGCAATACATGAAGGGGACAGTATGTTATGACTAAATGGGGTGATCTCAAGAATTCATGGAAAATTCACCTTTCAAATACCAATCAACCTGACATTACCAGGTCCAAAATACCAGAGTATGATGTAAGCCCCATAGAGGTCAAAGACCTATATATAACATAGCTAAGAGAAATTAAAGAAGACTTAAACGTGTGGAGAGAAAAGCTGACTTCATAGATTTGAAGACTCAATATTGTCAAATGTAAATCTCAAATTGGTGCATATAATGCATTGTAATCCAAATAGAATTCCCAGCAGGCATTTTTGTAGAAATTGGCAAGCTAATTCTAACATTCATATAGGAATACAAAGGACTAGAATAGCTCAAGAAACTTTTAGGAAGAGAAAAGTTGGAAGATTAACACTATCTGACTTTATAACTTAACAGTGATATCGAAACAGTATGGTAACGACATCAGCAAGATCACAGATTAAGGAGACCAGAGCTAAATCTATGCATATAAGGACACCTCATTTACAACTAAAGCATAGGGAAGTTTAGTGAAGACAAATAATAGTTTCAAAATTGGTGCTGGAACAATTAGATATCATACATAAAAACAACCTTCAATCAGAACTTTGCACCATATACAAAGTTAAGTCAAAATGGATCATAGACCCAAATATAAAACCTAAATTGCAACTTTTAGGGGGAAAAGAACCATAGAAAAACAATCTTTGTAAACTTCAGTTGGGCAAAGATTTATTAGAACAAAAACAAATTCCATGTTTTAAAAAGTGACAAATTGAAATTTATGTGAAAAACTTCTTGAGGAACTATGAGGGACTGAGAAGATGAGGGAAAAGTAGAGGGGCCGGGTGGAAAAACGGCTGGACGTGCTCGATGCATGATACGTGCATGAATGAAATGATCACAGCGAATCCCATTCATTTGTATAATTAGTACGTGCTGATCATTGTAATAAAACACTTAAATGCAACACTGGAGAAGAACCAGGAAGACCTGGAGCAGTGGTTCTCAACCTGGTGCAGGAGGGAGCATCGTGAATTTACAATTTATTTTGAAAGCAATAAGATTTTGATAAATATTTTTATGAAAAACTCTAAAAATCAATGTTAAGAGAATGAAAAGATACAAGGGGGAAAAATGAGAACCAAGACCTGTCATGTAGAGGTACAAGATCCCAATGATGAATGTAACTGTACTGTATACCTAAAATGTACC